ACGGAAAAATTATTTAAATTATACGCAAATTTTTTGTAAATGGTCAAGAGAAAAGAGGATTTATGTGGAATTATCGAAATAGGAATAAAGCGCTTATTACATTATTCAATTTTTAGGAAATCTAATTAGGAAATTGGAAAGTGTAATCATAGTTAGAACAGTTAGGATCCGATTTAAGCGCTTATTACATTATCCAATTTTTAGAAAATCTAATTAGGAACCTAAATTGGAAGCTAGTAATCACATTACACTAAATTGAATTCTAAATCGTGACGAAGCACATTCGTAAAAGAAGTATCGACGGGGTTGCACGTTTGATCGATGGCGCCGTATTTATCAAAACAGCAGAAAATAGGACTTGCCTTAGCCGTGGTGGGAACAATGGATATTAAAAAAAGAAACAAGAGAATATGCTGGGTTAAGGAATACTTGTCATTGTATTTGTAAATATTTAACAACACCTTGAAGCCCTCTTCACGCATTGCTTTTTTTAAATAGTTTTCATCATTTTTATTATACAAATAGGGCATTTACCCTATACAGGTCTATAATTTGTAATAACACCTCTTTTTCTGTGGACATGCTGTCACACGAACCACTGTTCAGTTCTGTCGCTTCACTCGCCATCGTAAAAATTGTCGCACGCGCAGTCAAGACACCCACTTAGGTCGAAGCGCGGGCGCCGACTGGTCGTTCTAAATCGTAACGTTGCGATTACACTATCCTAAATTGTAGACAATTTAGAAAGTAGAGCGGTCGGGACCTCCAACTTTAACTAAATCGGATCCTAACTGTTCTAACTATGATTACACTTTCCAACTTCCTAATTAGATTTCCTAAAAATTGAATAATGTAATAAGCGCTTTAGTTAAAGTTGGAGGTCCCGACCGCTCTACTTTCTAAATTGTCTACAATTTAGGACAGTGTAATCGCAACGTTACGATTTAGAACGACCAGTCGGCGCCCGCGCTTCGACCTAAGTAGGTGTCTTGACTGCGTGTGCGACATTTTTTTGCGATGGCGAGTGAAGCGACAGAACTGAGCAGTGGTTCGTGTGGCAGCATGTCCACAGAAAAAGAGGTGTTATTACAAATTATAGACCTGTATAGGGTAAATGCCCTATTTGTATAAAAAAAATGATGAAAACTATTTAAAAAAAGCAATGCGTGAAGAGGGCTTCAAGGTGTTGTTAAATATTTACAAATACAATGACAAGTATTCCTTAACCCAGCATATTCTCTTTTTTCTTTTTTTAATATCCATTGTTCCCACCACGGCTAAGGCAAGTCCAGTGCAACCCCGTCGATACTTCTTTTACGAATGTGCTTCGTCACGATTTAGAATTCAATTTAGTGTAATGTGATCACTAGCTTCCAACTTAGGTTCCTAATTAGATTTTCTAAAAATTGGATAATGTAATAAGCGCTTAACAGATCGGTAGCAAATTTGAATATAATTACCATAGAAACGATATAAATAAGAAAGACAAAACATGTCAAATTTTTGTTTTTGGTTTATAATAAGAAAACGGTAAGATTTAAGTGGAAAATGAGATATTATTGATATAGGAAAAAAGGTAGCGCAGCTGTCCACACAAAGCCCAAGATTGTAGAGTTACGGAAAATTAGCTAAAAGATCGAAAAAAGGTAGACTCCATTGACACCAATTTAAAAGTGCTGATAATGTGAAAATACGAAGTAGAAATGATTTGTTATTGTGTTCTTATGGTTTAAAAATCGTTACAGGATCCTATGGAAATAAAGGTGATGTAAAATATCCAGTTTTGAGGTGAATGCAGAAAATCGAAACAGAATGGAAAAATGAATTTAAAATAATGTAAAATGATACGTAAGTAGTATAACACTACAATATATATATATATATATATATATATATATATATATATATATATATATATATATATATATATATATATATATATATATATATATATATATATATACCTAGTCATATATAATAATACACCGAAACTGTTTCCAGTAAACCAAATAAAAACATAGCACCGTCGTGTCATTAATACGCGTTCTACTATTGATTTATATTGTTACGAGCATAGATTAATGATAAGTCATCGCGCGCTCTGACTAGATACCGCCGGCGCTCATGTAAAATGCGGCAACAAATACTACGCCGAAATCGGCGTACCCGAGCCAGTCGCGTTGTAGATTCCTGTATAGGACAGTTCTTATACTCTTTGGTTGCAGGCAACATGTGAGGTGAACGTACCGAGTGTTTTATTAAATTTTGATCATAATCCGAAGTAAAATACCAGTTTACGTATTGAAACTGTGTAAAAAATAATACTAAGAGAAATAAGAAAGACACTGGAATCACATACCATCATTAAGTATCATACAATTTCGAAATTTTAACATAAAATAACACTAGCCATAAATAAGTCACAAAATATCAATGACGCTATTCAGTGTTGCCGCGAATGCAAAAATAAAGTTCCCCGTGGCTATATATACTATATTTTATAATATAATATATTAAACTTATTATAATATAATCTAATTCTATATTATTAAATGTTTATTTCTGTAGTATTGTTGAAATGACATAATTGCCATTTATTAGGGTTCCGTAATCCGTACCCAAAGAGTATCAACGCGACCCAAGTCTCCACTATAGTTCCATCTGTCTGTCAGTAGGTTGTATCTTATGAACCGTAATATGTAGAATTTTCACAGAATGTGTATTTATATTGCTGCTATAACAGCATAAAATAAAAAAGAAAACAAGTAAAATATTCAAGGACCCAAAAAAATTTTTTTCTGTATTGATATGTGTTTTGTTTACAGACTAAAGCGAAACCTGGATTAACACGCAATAAAATGATGCTGTGTCTATGGCGGTATTGAAAGTTTATCATGAGCTTTTACCGCCGGATAAACCATCGATTCGGATCTCTGCTACCAATAAATAATGAGACAAGCAAGAAATAGAAAAAAAAAACGGCTGGCATCATTGAGTTATATTATATATTCTATACAAAATCTCGTACAAACTTGCTCAAAATGTAAGGAAGATAGATCTATAGTAAAAGTTGTTCATATTGACGCGTAGAATAAAAAGCCCTATTTTGATTACACCATATATATAACTATATTTTAAAATAATTTGTGAATATTAGTTAGACATGTAAATAAAAAATTAAACTGATAAAAAGGAGGCCTTATCATTTAAATGTCATTTATTCAGAAGAAAAACCTATACATAATATACACAAATATATTGATACATTCGTTATTAATAAACTATTCATTTTAAAGTATTTCTGGAATACATTCATAACTATGTACTTAACTACTAAGCCATAGCATAAAATAAATTTTCCCGTTAATCGGGTGATAGTTAAGCTGCTGGCATATACAATTTTTCACGCAAACTAGCATCATGCAAAGTGTCTTATACACACTACAATATTAAGATGCCGCACTCACGGAGCTGTTACTTGCAGAGAGCGCGGTATCTAGATCTAGTAAGAGCGCGCGATGACTTATCATTAATCTATGGTTACGAGCTTAGGGTTCGAGACAGTTAAAAACTGCCAATTGAATTACCAAAATTGACACTTTAATTACACAACACTAATTACAATCTAAAACCACACTAATAATAAAACACAATTACTTTAGTTCGCAGTTATTTCGCTTCGAAGTATTCTCTTGTATCTCCAATTCAATACTGCCTTCGTCGTGGTCTATACCGGCCTTATATAGGGCCTCCGATAGTTTCCAGAACCTTCTACTGTAGCGACATCTAGAATGTTCGAGGACATATCGGTCCCGAAATTTCTGGAAGGATCTTGACTCTCCTAGTTCTGCTACTCGACACTAGAGGGTGCTAGTGTAACTAGTGTTGCCATGTACAAGACATTACTAGTGGCGCGCAACACTGTCCCCTCCAAAGACATGCTCGTCCCGAGCATTATTGGCCCCATAATGACGCGTCAGTCGATCCACATGGACGATCTTAGGAGTACCTCTGGCACCTTTCTGTATCCGGTAGGTTACATCATTGATCCTTGTCACAATCCGGTACGGTCCGTCCCATTTAGCTTGAAGCTTAGGAGATTTCCCTTTGCTGCGAGCTGGATTGTGTAACCACACTAGTGAACCTTCGTCAAACCCTTTGCTGTTCATTTTGCGGTCATACCATGTTTTCATCTTCTCAGACGTCAAGCATAATCAGTTATATTGCGTGGGGCATCAGGTGGTATTCCGGTGATCAGGTCTGCAGGCAGCCGTAATTCTCCCCCAAAGTTTGCGAAAGCTGGTGTCACAGATGTACTTTCGTGAACAGCGCTTCGATATGACAAAAAAAACGGTTGTATGTGCCTGTCCCAGTCTCGCTGCCGTTTTTCCACAACTTTTGCCAGGTACCTCTCCAGTGTCTAATTAAATCGTTCTACCATTCCATCAGATTGTGGGTGGTAATAAGTTGTTCTTGTTTTATGTGTACCCATAACTTGGCAAGTTTCCTGGAATATTTGAGAATCAAAATTCCTTCCTTGATCGCTGTGAATCTCTAAAGGTACTCCAAAACGACAGAAGACTTCATGAACTAGTTTATCTGCAACTGTTGAAGCTTCTTGGAAAATGGCGGAGACTTCTGGCCACTTAGTGAAGTAATCTATCACAACCATGAAATACGTGTGACCGCTTTCACTTTCCGGAAACGGCCCCGCAACGTCAATGGCTATCCTCTCCCATGGTCCACCAACATTGTACAATTTCAATGCACCTCCATTACGAGTCTGAGGTCCCTTTACAGCCACACAAGTTACATTTGCGACACCAGTCCTCGACATCGTCACGACAGTGGACTCAGCAAAACCGTTGTTGGATCTTCAATAGAGGTTTAGCTCCCAGATGGCCCCCTGAACAACCATTATGGTACAGCTGTAGAACATCCGGTACTTTAGCTTTAGGGACAACTATTTGCAAATTACAGCTGTCTCCCCGACCATTTCCTCATTTACGGCACAGGACTCCATTCTGAATCAGCAAGCTGTCCCATTGGTCTTGAGCATCCTCACACATCTCTTCAAGGCAAGGTCTTCTTGACAATGCATCTGAATTGCCATGAGATTTGCCGCTGCGATGTTCGATCACAAATTCGTATTCCTGCAGTAGTTCAATCCATCTCGCAACTTGTCCTTCCGGATTTTTGAACTGCAATAGCCATTTCAGTGCAGCATGGTCAGTTCGTAAGTGGAATTTCCGCCCCAGAAGATATTTGCTAAAATGCTGCAAGGACTTTACCACAGCAAGCAATTCCCGTCTTGTGACACAATAGTTCTTTTCCGGCTTTGACAACGACTTGCTGAAGTACACCATCACAATCTCTTGATCACCATTTCATTGAGACAACACACCGCCAAGTCCTATATCACTTGCGTCTGTGTCAACTATAAATTCCATGCCCGCATCAGGGTACCCCAAAATAGGTGTTTTGCACAGACGGTTCTTGAGCTCCTGGAATGCAATATCGCAACTTTCATCCCAGCAGAAATGTCGCTTCTCCTCAGTTAGCTTGTGCAGAAGTCTGGCTATATCTGCAAAGTTCTTCAAAAATCGCCGATAATAAGAGCACAAACCCAAAAATGCTCTAACCTGTGTCTTGTCTTTTGGAACCGGCCAATCCTTGACAGCGGCAATTTTCTCGGTCCGTGCGGATACCTTCTTCCGACACTACATATCCCAAAAAGCTAACTTGCCGTTTCAATAGTGAGCATTTCTTCGGACTCAACTTGAGGTTGGTACTCTGGATCTTCATGAGAACGCGTTCCAGGTTTTGAAGGTGTTCCTCAAACGTATGGCCTACGATGATAATGTCATCCAAGTAGACCAGACAGGCATCTCCAATTAGCCCGGTAAGTACAAGCTCCATCAACCTTTCAAACGTTGCTGGAGCATTGCACAATCTAAACGGCATGACTTTAAATTGCCACAGACCCTTTCCTGTGGAGAATGCAGTTTTCTCATTGTCCTTAGGGTCAATTTCAACCTGCCAATAGCCACTTTTCAGGTCCAGTGTACTAAACCACTTTACGCCTGTAAGCATGTCCAGCGTGTCATCAATTCTTGGCAAGGGATAGCTGTCCTTCTTCGTAACGTCGTTCAGACGGCGGTAGTCAACATAAAACCGCATGCTGCCGTCCTTCTTCTTTACCAGTACCACAGGTGAACACCATGGACTAGATGAAGGTTCAATAACACCATCCTTCACCATTCCCTCAATCATGGTTTCCACTTCCTTTTCACGTGCTACAGGCAATCTTCTTGGCCGTTGACGAATAGGCAATTCTTGTCCTGTGTTTATTTTGTGTTAAACTAAGCCAGTCTTTCCTATGTCAGCTTCGTTTGACAAGAAAACATTGGCGTACTTGAGTAACAACTTCTTCGCCTTGACCATTTCATTCGGAGAGAGAACGCTGCGACAGTCTTCTAAAAGTGCGGTCACTCGTTTGTCCATCCTTGCTGGGGGTCCCAGTCGATAGATATTGGCACCGACGCAACCAATCCACTTCCTCACTAGTACCAACCAATGTGCCTTTTTCTATAATCTGTTGCTGATCACAAGGGTTCTGACGGGCCTGTTCCGCCTGTCGGCGAGCCTGTTCCTGCAGCATCATCATCAGAGCACCTAAGTCAGGTGCTGTAGATGCAGGAGCTGATAACGGACCGGCCTCCGTGGTCAGCAGCTGGCCCTCCGATGTTTGCGGCGTTGTATTACCAAATCGTCTCTGGTCCCTCTCCAGCTGGCGTTGATTTAATCCCACTTCTGACACCAATTGTTACGAGCTTAGGGTTCGAGACAATTAAAAACTGCCAATTGAATTACCAAAATTGACACTTTAATTGCACAACACTAATTACAATCTAAAACCACACTAATAATAAAACAATTACTTTAGTTCGCAGTTATTTCGCTTCGAATTATTCTCTTGTATCGCCAATTCAATACTGTCTTCGTCGTGGTCTATACCGGCCTTATACAGGGCCTCAGATAGTTTCCAGAACCTTCTACTGTAGCGACATCTAGAATGTTCGAGTACATATCGGTCCCGAAATTTCTGGAAGGATCTTAACTCTCCTAGTTCTGCTACTCGACACTAGAGGGCGCAAGTGTAACTAGTGTTGCCATGTACAAGACATTAATAGTGGCGCGCAACAATACATTATAATTAGCTAAGCTTTTGTTTCTCTATCTACTCGTAGATAACATTTAACTATTTTAGTTACAGTTACCCCATACCTTAGAATACATCAGCATTTAAGACAACTGTATAGTTGTCTTAAAAGCTGATGTATGTTTAATTTTACCCGACGGCACCAGGAGGAGGAAATACATCAAGGAAGGTGTGTGTATGTATGCGTATGTGGGTATGTTTCAAAAATAGTTTTGCTGAGCCTACAAAACGGATGGACCGATTGTTTTTGTTTTGCAAACTTCCGCACAGTCGGGTGTTTTTTTTATTTAGTCTTAAATATTTTTTCTTTATGTTTTGTCTTTGATATAGTATTGGTGGCCACACACGGTCAGTTAAACTGATCAGTTTAACTGACGTACATCCAAAAACTGACCGTGAATGTGAAAAAGTTGAAATTTTTAACTGACTGCAACACACGGATTCTTTCGGGTGACCTCTCAGTTAAACTGCTCCGTTCAACTTACGTACATCCAAAAACTGATCGTGAATGTGAAATCTTAAGTTAAAATTTTTAACTGACGGCAACCCACGTATTTTTCCGGGCGCACCGTAATCCGCTGGCTTAAGTTAGTTTCTATTATTGGTAAGTACATATTTTCTTAGTAGCTTTTATATATATTTTATAATTTTTTATAACATTATTTGTATTATTTATTATTTTATATATTTAGAGAAGTTGGTTTGATAGAGGATGGAGACCAAGGTGATTGTAATGATGTCACCTTCCTTATGGTTGACTCAGAAGATCTCAGTCATGCTACTACGTAGACGTACTACGGACTCATTTTCAAATAGGTAAATGGAGGCCTAAATGACTGTGATGATATCACCTTTATGTTGGTGCAATCCGAAGGCGATTATAGGATCTCACTCACGACACTAGATAGAATGACCGCGTTTGAACTCATTTGAAAGGGCTCATAAAGACCTAGGTGACTGTTATGACCTCACCTTTCTGATGGTGCAATCCGAAGGTGGATATAGGATCTCAGTGGCGGCACTATATAGAAGGATCGTGTTTGAACTCATTTGAAAGGGCTCATAAAGACCTAGGTGACTGTTATGACCTCACCTTTCTGATGGTGCAATCCGAAGGTGGATATAGGATTACAGTAGCGGCACTAGATAGAACGATCGTGTTTGAGCTCATTTGAAAGGGTTCATAAAGACCTAGGTGACTGTTATGACCTCACCTTTCTGATGGTGCAATCCGAAGGTGAACGGCACTAGGTAGAATGATCGTGTTTGAACTCATTTGAAAGGGTTTATAAAGACCTAGTTCAATGTGATTATATTACCCTCATGATGGTGGACTAAGAAGATGGGGTAAAAGATCTCAGTTATGCCACTACGAAACACCATCATGCTTGGGCTCATTAGAAAGGGCTCAAGAACTAACTACACAAATAATATAAATATAGTAAATAGTACAAACAGTATTATTACTCACTTTATAATGTTTTCAGGCAATTAAAAAAGCAGCAAAACTCCCAAGTAGGTACAATATCAGAAATCGACCATATATTTTGCAGGCAATAAAAAACAAGGCAGAACGGAAAAAGCATAACCAACTACAACCAGAAGACGAAAATATCTGCGTACTTCAAGAAAACCTACAAGCACCCTTAACACCAATTCCTATAAATGACCAAGTTACCTGTAGGTACTCAGTATTTAGAATTCAATGATTTTTGACTGATTTATTAAACGAATACTACACATTTAATAAAACAAACTTTTCGGATTTTATTTTGTTTAACTTATTTTAATTCGTGACGTTTGGGTGCTTCAACTTTAGTATGTAACACGTCGAGAGCTCATTTAGATAAACACAGAAAGCTAGGCCATCCTAACTATTTCCGTTACTGAAAACCGATAAGCATTATCTGGTCATCATAAGACCTTCAGAATGTGCCCATGTCCACGGATTTTTTTGGGCTCACCGTAACCGGAGTGCAAGTTAATCAGTGGGGTGTCGCCCGCTCTACAGATAGGTAATTTAATAAACAGATAAAAATAAATAACACATTTATTAAATAAATAAAATTTACCATAATTAATAAAATTATCATAATATCTGACCCATTTCTTAAAAGTGTCTTAATACTGACCTTATCATGAATAAAAATATCTTTTGAAGTGTTAATCTATGGGAAACTATATATATATATATATGATAATTTCCTATCTGTTAACTAGCTATTCCCCGCAACTTCGCCCGCGTGTAATTTATTACGATTGGATTTCATGGATTTTAATGTTTTTGCGCGGAACCCCAGTTCTTTTTCTAAATGAAAAGTAGCCTAAGTTCCTCCTTATAATAACAGCCATGTGCCACTGAAAGTCTCGTCAAAATCGGTTCAGCCGATTCGGAGATTAGCCGGAACAAACAGACAGACAGACAAAAATTTAAAAAATTGTGTTTTTGTTATAAATACCGTATGTACTTTCATATGTATTTAGTAAAAAAACTGTTATTTTGACATTACAAACAGACACTTCAATTTTATTTATTTGTATAGATATATATTAATAGACAGGAAATTATATTAAATAAGATTTAGATATTATTAAATATGATTTAATTTATCTATATACAGTAAGGAATCCAAATATATGCAATAAATGAAACCACAAGTAATACTAGTCCATAGAAGTGTAGAAAAATTAAATATTAAATTAAAACCCGTAAAATAAAAAAAGTGAAATAAATTCAGTAAAAGTAAACACTATGTTTAGACTACGTACCTTGACCCCTTGGAAGAGAGGCAACGTTGCACGCGGGTGGCATAGCGGTTGGCGGCCGGCAGCGTTATTGTGGGCACGGCCTTTGATTCGTTTGACAATGTGCGACGAAATAAAAACTACTACTAGACTAGATACCGCCGGCGCTCTTGTAAAATGCGGCAACAAATACTACGCCGAAATCGGCGTACCCGAGCCAATCGCGTTGCAGGCGATATGTGATGTGGACGTACCGAATATTTTATTAAATTTTGATCATAATCCGAAGTAAAATACCAGTTTGCGTAGTGAAACTATGTAAAAATAATACTACAAGAAATAAGAAAGACACTGGGATCACATACTATCAGTGAGTATCATACAATTTCGAAATTTCAA